AACAAATGCCAGTGTAAACAAATCCTTATTCATTTATTGTATGGTAATTTGCAGTTACCTACCCAGAAGAATCGAAATTCTGTTGAATAGCCATCAGAGTGGGTTATCAGAATTTTCCTAATAGTGGATTGAATGGGCACAGACACATGGAGGCTGGTTTACTAAAGGTGTTAATCTTCACTCAATACACTGTGTGAATATTCACTTAAAGTGACTCTAAAATTAGGAGTTAAACCTTAAAAATGCATTCAAGTACCCTAACTATTAACTAAAATGCATCTTATTTGTGTATCACTCAGCTGTAGATCCTCAAATCATCTCTGATTTGGTGCTGACACTATCCTTCCTTTTGGAGTGTGGCTACTTTTGTTGCCCATGGTCTCTGCATGTATTGTAAAGTAAGCACCGCTCCAAGCTCACTCCCATGATGGACTACAATCTCACGTTTAGTTTACTAATTTGTATTGAGGTTGTAGTCCATCACAGAAATTAGCTTGGAGCTGTGAGTACTTTACAAAACACTCACAGGGACCAAGGGGAACAAAAGTAGCCACCCTCCAGAAGACAGAACAGTGTCAGAACCAATTTAGTGATGAATTGAGGATCTACTGCTGAGTGATACACAAATAAGATACATTTTCTGTTAATAGTTAAGGTACTTGAATGTTTTTTTAAGATTTGTCTCCTGAGTTTAGTGTCACTTTAAATTATCTAATATGTAAAATAAAATCCTATCTATTTCACATGACTAATTGAAGTTAATATTTACACAATTGATTGTGAAGAGATTTTTAAATTAGGCAAAAAAGTGTTATGAGTCTTAGCAACTGGACTGCATATTACTTCTTTTCTCATTCCACAGAAGTAGGGAATAGTAAAACATTTGTTAAATTACTCATTCAAATTTCTCCATTTTAAAACAAAATCCTACTTTTTGCATTTATGTTTCTCCTGTAACATATGCTACTTTCACATTATTCATAGTTTCCTTTGACTGAGACTGAATGAGTTAACAGTCACAGGTTTCTCAGGTGATCATTAGTTTCAGACCAATGGGCTGTTCATTTTAAAGTATCACATTGCAGCCTCGGGTGTATGGGAGCAAGACATTAGTTGAAAAGTGATGTAATGAGCCTATTTATTCCAGGTAATGTCTTGTAAATCTACTCAAGTGAATCCTGAAGGCAGATCATGTGTAGGTCTTAGCATTCATGAAGACAGAGTGCTTTGTTTCCTTATTAAGACAGCAATTCTGTTACAGGACTAACTTTATTAAAGGACGTTTTCCCATAATCATTTAATAATCCGTGTACCTTTTACAAGGTGAATGTATTATTATATACTGTAGCCACATTACTTTTAATATAGATATAAATGTTCATGTACATGTTTATGCATTTAGTTGCAAAGAATAGTAAACTCATTTTAAATTATTATGTGATAAGCTACAGAAATATACTTTTGCAAAGCCAATGTTTGCAGAAAATTGTTAATAATTCAAAATACGAGGCTAAGAAAATTGATCTACAATATATGGGTATGTGTGTGTGCTTATTTGTGTAAACAAAACCTGTGCCTGCACAAATTATTTTGGTTGCCATATCTGATCGCTTCTTCTGAAAATGCTAGTTGTCTTGCTGTTATGGTGATCCGGTGGCTTCAAGTCTATAGGGTTTATTTAGTAAAGGCAAATAGGCTGTTCTCTTTGCAAGGGAATTTTCACTTATCTTAGTGAATGTGGTAAAAATTAACTTTGCACAGAAGATCCAATCATCTGGAAGGAAAATTTAAAAAAAACCTTTATTTTTGCTTGCTTATGATAGAATGATGGAAGTCAGCAGAGTTTCACCTCAATCACTATGTTAAGGGAAAATTCCCTTTCAAACTGAACAGTCTATTTTCCTTGAGTAAATCAACCCCCTTGAGTCTCTTATCAAGTCTGTTAAGATGCAGCTAGTCCCTCTGACTTGCTGCATCTTTGTCAATGGCAGCCAAGCAACTCACATGATCAGAATAAGCTTAGTAGTGGTAGCCTCCATATTTTCTTCAGTAATGGCCATAGACATGAGTACAGTAGGACACACAGACACAATCTGCACTTTTTAGGTTTTTTCCAGACACTGACATAAACATGCACATTTAGTTGCAGAGCAAGCATTTATATGTTTGAGGAGGAAAAGGGAGGGGGAAACTGCTGTCACACTTCTTTGGTGCTGGTTTGATTTTGTAGGAAGCGTTAGTAACCTGTTTAAAATATCTCACACAGCCGATCGTTGTTTCCTCTGAGATCGGTCAGCCAGTTGTATCTGGAATAGTCTATCAACCGCTATGCGTACCCTTTTAAAAAAAACCCATCTAGGTTCCTTTTATGTGTCTAAAGAAAAAGAGGATCATCTCACCTGGAGACTTCAGCATTGTTTTAAACTGACAGATCACCTTGTGGGAAAGTTAGACTGATTATGAATTATTCACTATATGTCAAGATATATCCTCTTCAACATGTGATAATATTTCTGTAACTTGATTCCAGTTCTGCCAACATTTTTTTCTCACACTGTGATTTTTATAGTAGAAAATTGCTACCTGTCTAAGTCATGCTGGGCTACATCAGCTTTCTTAGACTTCAAGGATAAGTGTGCTTATCCCTTTTAAATGAGGTATAAGTACCTTATTGCTCACCTAAAATGCAGAAATGCCAGCTCTTACAGGATGATCTTTAGGGGACCATTGCACTGGCTGAGAAGCATCCACTGCTGTGGCCAGAAGGGGATGAGTATTAAGGAATATGTATGGGGTGAGGTGAGTGCCTTTCTGCTATTCTCACACGGATCAACCCAATTTCAAGTGAGAGATAACATGCCACAATCTGAAATACATGAGGGCCAAAAAGCATAAACAGTAAGTTTAATGTATTGTGTTTTCAAAAGGTTTGGGGTTTATAAAAGAACAAAAAACTGTATTAGGCAACAATATTATTCCAACCCTATATCTTCCAGATGCTAGTAGTTGTCATTTTACAATATACATTACCATCCCCACTGCAGACACTCTGAGCATTGCTACATAGTTTTGACAAGCAAACCATTCTGACAAGTTAGGCACTTGCTCTGCAAATGTTTAAAATGTATGTATAGCCCATTTCTTTCTTTTTTTTGTTTTTATTTTAGATAGAGTAGGGGTGGATTAGATCCTCCATCATGTTTCTCTTGTTGTCTATGTCCATTCTAGGTAGATTCACCCTCTCCATTTGTCCTGGTGACCATTGTTACCAATACCGCTACAGAGATGGTATGTCCCTCAGGGTCCTAAAAGCCAATACACTGTATTGGATGTCAGGATTTGAGGATTCCTAGACCACTGCAGAGGAGGGGGAAAGACACTCTAGGGACCGGTCTAAGAGCTTGTTGGAGGTTTGGGTGAGTATAACTTTTTTTTTGCCCTAGGCAAAAACAAGCGCTTACCTCTTGCAGTATGGGGTTGTCCCACTGCAAGGGTTAATAAAATGTCTCCCTGGAGCACAAACTGGGCATAATCTGAATTTACTTACTATTTACTAGAATTTTTTGTATCCTAATTGTTTTCTAACTTGTATTACTATCTTGAAATTTCAACCTAGGCCCATCTAAAAAGGCTCTGTTCCCGTCTGTTACAGTCTAAAAGCTACAAAGAGTGCCACATATCATCCATACTTTTAAAAATGAGTAAAGCTGGTACCTAGACCTTTCAAGCTGCCACGGGCATTTGACAAGATTTGGCCAGACCTTGGTAACTTCTGTCTTGTGGATTTCTGACAAGTAGGATAGTCCTCCCAAACCTTTACTTTCAGATGTTTTGTAACCTGTCTGTAGAAGAGCAATGCTTCCCATTTTAAAATGACCTCTAGAGATAAGGTTGTTAAATGTATGCTACTCACTTGAGTCAGGTTTGTGTTATATCCTTGAGTTTTCTTTTACTTATACCTAAACAGGATGTTTTGCTTTTATAACAGTGGTGCCTTATGAACAGCTGTTTTCTTGGTTACATTTTTATATTGTTCTTGCAGGTCATTGCATAATAAAATAACCAAAAATTTAAACGTTGTATTTTTACATTTATGAGAGCTTGGCAGAACAGAGCAGTACCTCCCTGATCTTACTTTAAGTTCTCTTTCAACTGGGCAGGACAATTCACAGGAGAAAAATGGGAGCTTGTCAAAATGAAAAATTAAATGCTGAACATTGTACATCACATCGACCTTTGTCTTAGCCATCGGATGACTGAATGCATTGCTGAAGTTGCCTGTCAATAGCTGGTCACATAAGACCAAGTGTTCCAAAACAATATTGAAATTGATGTTTTAGTTTTACACAACCTTCAAATGCTTTACATTAATAAGTTTCAGAAATTATTAATTACTTTAGAAAAAGTAACATATATATATAAGGCTTAACTGGTATTGGTAGAGGCAAACCATGCATGAAACAGGGATACCCAGAAACAGTCCAAGTCGATTTGTTGTGCACTTTTATTCAGCTAGGCAGCAAACACACACAGTTCAGTGCAGGAGGACTTTGTAGAGCAAGTCCATTGCAGAAAGCAAACAAAATACTTGCTCAACCAACCCACTCAGCCTTTTCACTCATCAGCAGGCTTCCACAGCAGAGAGAGCAAGAGAGAGAGAGAACCACATATATAAAGGGCTGGGAATATTTGAGACTAAACATTATGTCTGGCTACCAGGTAAGATGTAGATCTAGGAATGTAGGCTTTATCCCCCCAATGCTGTACAAAGCCTCTGAGCTCCAGGACCCAGAACAGAACTTCACATCAATCATAAATCCCGGATCTTCTTACCATGTGTATGTGAGAAACTTAGATGACACATACACACCTTTCACAGTCCTACCAGACAATGTCTTACAATATATATTAAATGCATTGTCACATACCGTAGATAGATTAACATCTAAAAGGAGTTTATAGCCGTGGCATATGTTAATTCATCTGTTTTCTTCTTTTAGAGATATCAAACCAGATAACATTCTTCTAGATGAACAAGGTAAGCTAAATAAAAAATATTTATTATTTATGGTAAAATCTTTATTATAACCATAGCAGTATACAGAGTTGTAAAGGCAGTAACATAATCTGGCCTATGGCTCCAACAGACACCCAGACTCATGGAGACTATTTTTTTTTAAATTCATGGCACTAAGAAAGCATTGTTACCATGTCTTAGTTGGAAACGCCTTCCATTCCGTTTTCCTATAATATGTGAAGAATTAATACCTATGGTAATACCAATAATAAATAATTACTTGTAGTTTTAGGGATTGTTCATACCATAAGTGGTGACTGGCATTTTTCAGCAACTGAACAAGGCATTTTACCACTAATGCACATTATTCTCAGCGCATTGCACAGTAAAGCCTACCTAAAACAGAAGGTATTCACAAGTATTCACAAGTTTTATTCCTCATTGCAGGGCAGCGGGCGGAGTCACGAAAATGATTCCTTTGTTTATGGCTTCACTTTATGCACTGATTAGAGTCGAGGGCTTTTTGATTTATGTTTTAGTCCTTTCTGCACAATACCTTGTGTGGTTTTTGGGGCATAAAGGAATAATTAAAATGGCCCCACCTACTGGCTGGAAATCAAAAAATAATTTTCTTATTTTTGCGATATGTGATTGCATGAGACATAGGAATACCTTCTGTTTTAAGAAGGCTTTATTGTGTTTCAAAAGATGTAATGTAGACTGAGGATTACCTAGCTGTCAACATTTCATTTCTGAAACTAAGAGGTGATTTGCTCAGCAAATTACTTTGTAGGCATGACACGGGGAAGCATTGTCAGTCAACTTGTGCAGGGAGTGAGGGGGAGGAGCTGGTAGATATAAGTGGGCTGAAGGACCTCATCATTTAATGACCAATAATCTAGGTTCCTTTAAATAGAAATCACTTTTCCCCAGCCATAAACCTAGTCCACTCTTTATTGATGGTGATAATGATGATGAAATATCACAAAGTTCAAATGTATTTCACATGTGGGGATTATAGTCAAAACCGTAATATTAGTAGCACCATGCACCAACTAATTGGGCTAAGCAAGCAAGTTGCTAGAACCAGCTTTCCATGCCCTCCCACCAAATTTACATAGTATAACCATAGTATAGTACACTAAGCTCTAGCTTCAACTATGGTGGCTGCAGAATTATAAGAATGGCTGTCATTTGAGGTACCACCATGCTGCAGCCCATGGAAATCATTACCTGAGATTTATGGCTTAATATATTAGGAATGTTGGCTGCAGAACAATAATGTGAAAGGTAAGGAACATTGACTAAGTGTAATGATTGCCTTAACTTCTATTTTAATTAATTGTGCAGCATCAGAAGCTGATATATGCATGTGTTCATATGCTTTAGAATACTTGGATTGGTTTTCTAGCTCTTCCTTCTACTTAAATAATACATAAAATATTTACATGGTCAGTTAATCTAAAATCCTTTTAACATGTATACCCATTTCAGTTTGTTGGCTATTACAATCTTTGTTCTTTGAATTTTATTAAACATGTTGAAGAACAAGGACACTTCCACTGTAAAAGAAACTATTACATTTCAGCTTTGCTTTACACTTCTTTAATTCTTGTTTTTGTCTGGGAAAATCATGTCAAGATAAATATTGTTTAGATACCATCAAATGAAATACAGATATCAGCTAGATTTAGTATAAGGGCCAGTTCACACCATCCATTGCGTTCATCTCACAGTTCAGTTAAATGAACGCACTGGACCACTTAATCAAACCCTTCCCACCTTCTGGGGTGGGAGGGGGCTTGGTGATGCTATTCATTTCAATGGCACTGAAGGCATGCCTCATGCCCGCAGTGCAAAGGCTCTTACCAGAATGTGTTGTACCGCAATGCCCGTTGTTCCAGTGCAGTGTGACTGCAAAAAAATGTGCATACACAATTTTTTGCAATCGCACCACACTGGAATGGAGGGCTTTGGGGTACATGTTCCAGTGTGGGCCTCTCCTCTGCAAGAATGCGGAGGTGTTGTATATTACATCACTTCCGCATTCTTGTGTCACTCTCCAGCTTCAGAAGCTGGAAAGAAGTTGATGGAGCAGATCTGTGCTTCATCAGCTTCTTTTGGGGGGTCCTAGGTGACATTAGGGGTCTTGGAGACCCCTGATGTCTCCATAAAGAGGACCTGTCACATATTTTGCTATCACATAGGGGAGTTTAATTAGCCCGGTATGTGATAGCAATAAAGTTTAGTGGGGAAAAAAAGTCCCCCCCCCCAAATTTTTTTAAAGTTACACATAAAAAAGAATAAAAAAACTAAAAAAATTTTTAAAGTCCCCACCCATACATACACGCATGCAAGCATGCGTCGGGGGCGCATACGTGCAGGGGGGGGGTACAGGCAAGGTCAGACACCTGGGGTTAACCATGCAATTGCCACTACAAATCCAGCCAGGCTGTCTACAGCCCTGGCTATCACTAAATGCCTAGTAGCCACATCACAGAAGGTGATGGGCGCTACACTTTGTATGTCAGATTGGGGACAGTGAGACTGCCTATGTGCTGACAGACACCTCCTGTTTGGTGAGACACTTTATGTGGCAACTTTAGTTCCAGTGGGATCTTCTTAGCTCTGAAGTCAGAGATAACCTTTATTAAAAAGAGAACAGTTATGATTGATTCATCCCACATTATTTAGTTTATTTTTAAGTTATAAGTAACAATAAAGCCATATCTATAGTGATATACTAATAAAGTGAGGATCAACTTGTCACTGTGTCGCCTTGAAAAAGGGACATTTTTGCAATAAACAATACTTTCTTTGCATTTGGTGTGTTGGTGACCTATCTTCACATCTCTGAGGATCAACTGCAATTCTCCTACTCCACATGTACAATTCTCACATATGTAGTAAAGGACCCAAGAATAAGAAATATTTCTATTAAAATTTAAGCCAGAGGTAAAAATATATTAAGCCTTCTGTTATATAGCAGGCATTGTAGGTTATCCTTTTTTTTCTCTGCCTCACTACCCTGCCCCAGAATTTGGCAGTAGAGACCTCGCAAATACCCAGAACTTCAAGGTATGGAGGCCATCTTCAGGGGTTTTTGCATGATATGGACAGTTTCTACAGAAGCATACATCAGTCCCACAAACAAATCACATCGGAGGATTTTCAGGAGGCTAGGTGATCAGCTGGGTTGTAAGGTTTTTTTCAACTCACTGTTGTTTTTTGATGGATTACCCAGACTTTCTGTATCGTGGGCGTGGCACACATTCACGCTATACAAACAAGTTCAGGTTTTTCAGGCAGCAGTGGTGCATAAAGGAGGTGGTTAGGCATGCTAATAAGACATGGCACTGGTGAATGACTGCTATGCAGCTGCAGGATTACTTTGCTTTATTGCAGTATATGAGAGGTGTGACATAATATCTGCTGGCCTCTGGAAAGGATTAATGCAAACAAATGGAAAACAGAAAAATAAGGTTTTGATATGACCATGTTGTCTACTTCATTTTGCTCTAGATAAGACAAATCAGCACCTGACAACCCTAAATGTGAAGTTGTGAAAATAGTTTAATATTAATGGGTGTTGATATCATTACTCTTAATACTGGGTGCCAAATGAAGAAATATTCCCTCGGTTCATTGTACAGTAGTTTAAAATATTGACATAGTATATATGTTTTTTCAATCTGTTGCACATTTCTAAGAATGCATTATTAACATACTTATTTCCTGGGTATAAAGGAAAGGTAAATAATGAATGGATGAGATATTAGTATATTGTCTAAACTTTGCTTGACTTTGTGATGTATGCAGCGTGACAGGTGCTTTCTTCAAGTCAATTCTGCAGTAGAAATTGCTCATGCATCTGTCTCCCAGTCAGTGTGTCTCTATTAAATATTCATGCCCACAGATACACAGGACTCTAGTGGGACTGTCTGTCTGAGTGAATTCCACAAAGTTCACACTGAAGTCATCAGACATTCACCATAAAGGAATATGTTAGCAAATCTTATAGTACAATATATCATTAAAATATATAGCAAGCTTCCCTAGCATAGCACTGGGGGTCCCATGAGCCCAGAATGGGTTTCTATTCTCTTTTGTAACATTGACATTTTCACAAATTACAGCTTTCTGGCATGATGTACAGTGTTCCTGAGAGACAGATAAGCCTTTTTTTTTTTAGAGAACACCACTTTCAAAGCATCCAAAGGACAGCTGTACGTCTTTTTTTATAATGTGTGTTCTGAGCTGCAAAATTAACAAATAAAATGAAAAATTAAATAGACATGCAATCCAGCCATACTTTTTTGTCTGTTCATTCATATATTTATTTAAAGAGGTGTTGTAGGAAATTGTACAATAAAATTATTATTATATGCCCTGTCCACAGCGCAGCTCCTTACAGGATTAACCTTTGGGAGGGTCAAAGTGCACCTATGCCCCGACTATAGAATTGATAATTAACAAACAGTAAAAAAAAAAACATAAAACGAGCCATCACTGACCTCTCTAGCTGTATGTAATGTAAAGTAATTCATCCTTATAGCTATACTCCGGGCATGCAGCTAAATACTCTTTCTATTCATCCAGTCCTGAGATTTAAACAGTGCCATTTAGAATGAATGGTATTGCATCACTCCAACATAATGCACGCATTAACGCACACATTAACGCAGAGCAATAGTATGAGCAGGGCCTAAAGCTCACAACAGGGACTTAAAGTCAGGTTTTAGTATTGAGTTTATAACAACTTGCCTGGTATCAGTGGTGTAACAATCACCATTGCGACCCAGGCGGACGCTATGGGGCCCAGGGCACAGTGGGGCCCGGCCAGATGCCGTGTGGGCTGCCTGGGTCGCTATGGGATCCTCTGCTGGTGGCTTTCACTGGTGGCTGAAGACGAACACGCCGCTGTTAATATCACTGACAGTAATCTGTGCAGCAGCGCGTTCCTCTCCACAGAGTCAATGAGAGCCAGCAGCGGCAGTGGAGGAGGAGGCGGGGCCCATGGTCGGCAGCAGGGGAGGAGGCGGGGCCCGGTGACGAAGAAGGAGGCGGGCCCAGCATCGGAGGAGGAGGCGGGGCCCATCAGCGCCGTGGACGAAGAGGAGGCGGACAGGTAAGGAGTGCGACCAGCCCACCTGAGGGTGAAACTGCAGAGCCCACCATAGAGAGCCTATGGTGGGCTCTGCAGGTTCACCCTCAGGTGGAACCTCGAGTGGGCTCTGCAAGGGGTATAACTAGAAATCACTGTTTTGGGTGTAGAGTACCCTACAAGACAAGCTTGTGATCATTTTAAGTCCTGAGGCTCCAATAAAAGCATTTGTCACGTTTCTGCCACAGCCAAGGGCCTCCCTGCCTTGGTCATATCTGGGGGAGTGCTTAATACTTTACAGCTCTCTTGCTTGGTCAATGTTCACATGCATTGATTGGGTGCATTTAGGTTTTCATACATCTGCTCACACTTACCTATCACCAATCTTTTTTGCAAACTAATTTTTACTACAATAGAGAAACCTTATAAAATGCAGTTATTCATAAAGAAAAAACTGACTGCAAGCAGAAAGGGTTAGCAGACTGGAAAAAAGAGTTGAAAGTAATATTTACACATCTAAAGCCAAATTTTTAGTTTTGAACAGAGGAGGGAATCAAGTAAAAGTCTTTTTTGCACTGTGTCTTAATAGGGAAGGTTTTCTCCACTTTATGTCTTAGAAACACAAAAACAAGAAAAGAAACATATCAAAAGTGTGGGCAAATCCCTTCCTAAACACAGAAGCAGGTGTCCCCATTGGAAGATTTTCCCCAATATTACTCTTCCAGTTACAACCATAGATTTTGGGATTCCCGCCTACTTTTATCCCAACGGCACTGGTCACAGCAGGAACACAGTTTGACTTAAAAATCTGAAGGGGATCTAACATTCCATCTAACATTAAGATATATTTTAACTCCCTTTCACCAAAGTACACTTAGGTGGAAGGGATACCATGGGAAAATACACAAACCTACCTTTGGGAACAACAGGAAAAGTGTCCAAAACTGACTTAAACCTGACCTAGGAAAAACTAAAGCTCCCCATACACTTTAAGATTTTTCTAATTCAGCCTACAGGCCGAACAAGATAAATCACTTGATTATTCTATCTACACCAAAGACCTTGGATGGAGGAATCTCCCTTGTCCACTATTGTATTCTGGCTGTATTGGCTGCAGTCACTGTTTGGCTGACAACTTTCCACCCACCTCCCTTGAAAAAAAGTAAATTGAAAGGGCAGCGTTATGTTAAGTAGAATCTGGGAACTGATTCCATTTTCTTTCTTCTTCGGCCACCAAGTGTCTAGTGTGTGTGTGCTTCTCTGCATTGGGGGTAATAGTGTAGGGCCTATGCTTACTATTCATTTCCCTCAGGGGAGAGGAACGTTTCATCTGATACTACCTGACTTTAGCAGCTCTGATGGGATTGCCACAGCAGCTATCTTTAGTAAGGGCACATGCCCCTGGATCTGTTTTTACTTGTGCATAACTACTACAACACGGCAGTAATGGGCTATAAACAAGCTCTTGGGCTGTAAACAAGAGTGCTGGCCACCATTCCTTGCACTCAATATAGACCAAAGAGTAGTGTTCCAAAACCAGAAAACAAAGAAAATTTCACGCAATGAACTTTGCAAAACCCAGTCAGCTCCACCCCAAAAAAATGGCTGGTTGTTTCAGATTGTAAAAAAAAAAAAAAAAAGCCTGAGCTTTTGTTGAGACACGAAATGGCCAAGCAACTCTGATTGCACATCACTTAGATTACTGGTACAGGTCCACATGAATACACCAGTTCTGCATCAGTAAACAAGTGCAGTTCCCTGTGGGTCCCTATAGGACCCTACAAGGTAAAGGAACCACACTAAAACAGGATATCAGGGACAGTGCTCAGGAGACCAGCTGATTCTGCAACCATTCTGATTCTGCAAATGTCCTGCCCAGCTAAATGCTGGGTGTCTAGCTATATGCTGAGGAGCATAAGAATTTTCTGTGCTCCTCAGCACCATCTAGGGGCGCTAGTACTGTTATAATATATATAAAATCAGCCCCATAGTGTCTTAGTGGTCATAGCTGGTGGGTAATGTGTACTGTGCATAGAAAGAGAATAAGATTTCAATTAGTAATTTTATTTGTTTTGAAGGCAACAGCTAAAATCTGATTTGTTGCTATGGAAAAAAAAATCTATTTATATCTCATACTTGTTATAAAACGGTGCCATTGTGTTTTAAAGAACCTTTCCATTTTCTACTTATTTGCATGCATGATTTAAATCTAATTCTTTTCTTTTTGTGTAGGACATGTACATATCACAGACTTCAATATTGCTTCTCTGGTGAATCAAGGTACTAAGAACACAACTGTTGCTGGGACAAAACCTTACATGGGTAGGTGTTCTCCATATATTATGTCTTTGTTCAGATTTTAGAAATATTATACCTCAGAGTGTTTAAGCTCTAACGCAAAATCTATATTTTAAGGCTGTGTATCTGTATCAGATTCATTACTGATGCAAAAGCCATTTCATTATACAGCCATTCCCAGAATGCTATTAAGCTGCTCTAGTACTTATGGCAACATCTTTGTTGCAGGGCCAAAACCGCTTGACAAATCAGCTGAACTGAAGCCAGTGCTGTGCCTTCAAAGATTTGTGTGGTGTCTGTGCTTGGCAAGATCCGAGAGAATAAAGCTGCTGTCTGCAAATGTGCTGTGCCATTAACAATATAGATAATATACTAATGCTTGACTGTGCAAAGAAGCCATTTGCGAGACAAAGGCAAATGATATAATTTATTCGAAGATTACACGGAACAGATTTTATAAAGAAACAGCAAGCAATAATTACAGCATTCTTTGTTTAGTTATTTAAGTTGATGGGAATGTGTTGATTGCTACAAATGATCACTACATGATCGTTGGACAACAAAGGCATAGCAATGGGTGCAAGACCCCTGATGATTGATCACTAACTCATATGCCCTTGAGCATGGGGTGGTGTTTTAAAGGGAAACCCAGAAAAAGTGAGACCTTCTCAAAACACCAGTCGTGTGAATATGGGTATTAGTTTCTCCTGATCAAACTTTGCCCTAGAGGTAGCCAGAGGACAAACTGTTAATTTATTTTCTCTCATGCTTAAGAGCCTGCAGTGCACACTAGATCATTAGACCTGTCTTCACTAAATTGTATTGGGATATCACTCCTTTTTTTTTTTAAATTGAACCTTAAATATATGAAAATAACTTTTTAAATAACCAGTCCACCCAAATGAATTAGGTTATATGTGGAGCCAGGTTGACTGAGTCAGCTCATGGCTTCCTATGCCTCTTGGGTACTCCAACTGTTTTGTTTCCCTGCACAAATCCCTGACTCTGTTCCTGTTCACATTGAGTTTTTGTGTTCTAGCATCTCCTGTTACATTTTCCTTTAATATAGCATTAGTAAAGAATCCAACACATTGAATGGGATCCCCTCAAATTGACTACATCTTGTGTGACCCAGGAACTCAAGTGCAGATAAATCCCTATGACATGAGAAATTGTTAAACATTCTAGCATGTACTAAAAGCAGAATAATCAGTTGCAGGTAAACTGGCTTTTAAAATTGTGATTCTGTGACATCCTAATAAAACTAATCTGTCATTAGCTAATTAATTAAAGGACAGTGTATGATCACCAATGAAAAATATCACTTGCTGGCTTTTTGCATCTGTTCAAGACTCACGATTTGTTATGTAATAATTTACCAAATAAATAATAAACCAAAATTAAGGTGTCATTTCCCCATGGCTAAAGTTCCAAATTATACTCTCCAATTACTGTTATTTTCTGTAATATGAATCTTTATCCAGGAGGTGCAGGTAGGTTTATAATAGCCACAAATGTTTAGCAGCGTTTGGAATTGACAGAAACAAAGCAGCATCTGATCCAGCTTGCTAGCAACCGCATGCAATTGAAATACTAATGTAAGGTCAGTCTGTAAAGGTGCCCATACACCTTACGATCATCAGACGAAACTTTTCGTCCAATGATCGAATAGTCGTACGATTTTCGTACGGCAGCCCCATCCTGCCCCGATGATCGCAAGATTCATTTAGCCGTAATTAACGAAAAGCACCTGGACGAAATCTGGTAATTCATTTGCCTATTTTCGTTAGCGCAAGCGCAGTGTAGATCGTACGAAGTTTGATGGAAACACCAGCAACCTTACGAAAATCGTACGATCTAGCAAAGTTTTCAAACATGCTTGACCGTCAAAAGTCGTACGATTGTACAGTATTGTCGGTCGGACACTGCAATGCACACATACGATTATCGGACGAAAAGTCGATCAAATACGAAAATCGTCCGATAATCGTAAGGTGTATGGGCACCTTAAGGGTAGCAGATTTTCCATAATCACCAACAGCAAGTAAAACCAAACTTTGTTCATATACTGCCATATACAAAGTGTACAGGTTTATTTGCTTTTCACAAAGGTTGTTGTGTAAGGTCGTTATTATCAGTGACCGAGGGACTCCTTTCCATTCCCTGCTATCAAAGTGGAGTATAGGTTATTTGTACAGTTAATGCTACAGTACGGTACCTTATTTTTTATATCAATTAAACAAAATCTTATGACAAGTATATATGCACTCATAGCCACGGTTAACATTTTAAGGAGCAATATGACTTGCATTATACATATTTCTCATTATGTTGTTGTTAATGGCAAACAGTAACACACACTATGAAACTGGTGAGGTCATTAGTGCTGAACAATAAATACTGTGGTTTGGAATGAGCTCTGTAATTTACTCCTGGTTGGGATGCGGTTTCCAACTTATGAATTCAGCTTAAAGCCTATGTCAAGACAAAATTTAAAAAAAAATTGAACATCTCTGCAAAACATGCATATTTCCCATGTTTCATCCCTTTAAACATGCTACAAGTACAGACAAATAACTGTTGATTTGCCAGAAATATAGTGTGCTCGTTCCTTCCTCTTTGATGGGACAACACATTGAGGGGAATTTATCAATAGTGGAGCAGGCAGAATCTGGAGCAGTTGTCCATGGCAACCAATCAGCATCCACCTTTCACTTTCAAACCTTAACTGAACAAACTGGAAAGAGAAGCTGACAGGCAACTGCTCCAGATTTTGTCTGCTTCAGTTTTGATCAATTCCCCTCACTGTATTTTTGGTTTTAAATCTTAAAGCACGTGTTGTCAGCCCTGACTACTTCATTTATGTTGGATTACAAAGAACACAGACCTCTCCTCCTATTTCCCCCTCTTCATCTCCATAACCCCTGCTTGTGCACAGGACATTATCAGCTCACAAGATTTCTGGCAAATTCAGGTATTTTGTATGCTTATAAAACAGATATAAAAAAAACCCACAATGGTATAGTTACCCGACCAACAGTGAGCAAATAAGAGAAATTCATTGTTAGGGTATACAGTATTTACACTTTAAGAATAAGAATGCTGCCACCTATTGGTACTAAATACAAGATGAAGTCTCTGCGTAGTACATCAATAGAAGCATCTGCAGTGGAGGACTCTTTTTTCATTTGTGGCTCTTAGTAACTGCCACCGTTTTGTTTACTCAGTGAAGAAGTGCTGCTGTAAGTGCATTGGTAACAATTTGGAATAAAACATAGAAACCAATAACATTACTGTAGTTACAATCATAAAAATGTATGTGAAAGTGGCTTCTATGACATTATTGATATTTATTCATACTTTCTTTTCACCTTGTATTGGGGTATTAAAGGGACAGCGATGAATCCTTGAATAAAAATAATCTTTTTTTTTTACTAGGAAAGTTCGTTAACGTTAAAGAGTAACTCTTTAACACTTTTGCTGAGAAAAAAAACAAACAATCCCCTCTGGGTGATAAATGTACATTGCAAGGATTTTAACAAACTTTGTTGCAGATTTCTACCTTTTTCTGTTCTGAAGAAAAGCAGTATGTTGCTGCGTGTCCTTTACAAACTGATTCCTGAATGGGTTCATTATAACCAGCTGATGGAATTTCTGTGTTCTAATGAGGAAAGGTGCAGTGTCTGCATCCCTTTAGTAATTAAACACCATTATTATTATTATTATACATGATTTATAAAGCGCCAACAATTACAATACAATTCAAGACAAGATGGTAAGGAGAGCCCTGCCCATGGGGGATTACACACCAACTATCTACAGAACGCCTCCAGGTCGCCATATTGCATTGGATTTTTTGACAGTTTTAAAAAAAACAGAGACCAGTTTTAAATCGACAGGTAATTTTTAATAACATTAACCCCTTCATGACCAATGACGTACAGTGTAGGTCGCTGGCATCCGGGCTGTTTAAACAGACACCCGGCGGCGAAAGCTGTTTAAACTTGTAAAGCCGACTGTCGGCTTTACAGTAGAAGCGATTCTGGTGACTCAGCTGTCGCCAGATCGCTTCTACGGGCCGGTGAAGGGGTCTCCCCCTGCCCTAAACGCCCACCGTGTTTCCTGGGCCCTATTGCCCCTCCTACGGGCCCGGATTGTTTGGTGTAGGTGGGAAGCCGGGGAGGAGATGAACGAACCTCCGTTCGTCGATCCCCTCCCCGTACTATGGGACGGGAACGATGCAGATTGCATCACTTACGGTCCCATAGCTGTCAGTGCTAGGCTCCTGAAGCCCAGCTATAAGCTATTGAAGTGCGATCTGCACTTCAATAGCTTATTTGGAGTTTAAAGGTGACACTGGGGGTCTTTCGGACCGCCAACATCACCTTAAAGAGTACCTGTCACCACCCTCTGCTATCACATGGGTGGCTTGTAAGCCCCCCTATGTCATTGCAATTAAAGTAAAGTAAAAAAAACAAACAGTTTTTAAAATTAACATTAAATAAAATAAATCTAAAAATAATTTTAAAAATGTTTTAATTTAAAAAAAGTCCCCCGCCCCCATGAGCACGCGCGTCTTCGCGTAAACACACGTCGGGTGCGCCTACATATGAAAGCAACAAACGCGCTACACATGTTGGGTATCGCCGCGCACGCCAGAGTGAGAGCAATAATTCTAGGGCTAGTATTTTTGGGTATCTCTAAACTGATGACCTGTGGGGGCTTTTAAATCATCATCTATGGACTTTTTAAGGTACTGAATTTTGTCGCTGTTTCACGGACGCACACAATTTTTAATCTGGGCATGTTGGGTATCTATTTACTCGTTGTAAACTCATTTTTTATATTTTATTTTAAAAAATTGGTATTTTATTGTGTTTTGGGGCATTTAAGTAAATTTTTCACTACATTGTGGGGTTTGATAAGGAGTTTGGGGGTTTTAAGTAATAAGTTGCCATTTTTCCATCTCAAACTAAGTTTCATCCCGTGGTCATCCAGATGGATAGCTTAATGCTTTTAAAATCTTTTACCAATAATTTTTTTAAACATGGAGGACTATTTCAGGAACTCCCTGCTTCCTTAACCACACAGATTTAGCGCATACTGACTGTTAATTCTTCCAATATGTTTGAATATACTAGAAGCATGTGTTTGCCTCTCTGGAGTATTGTGTTGGTCAGAAATACTTATTTGTTAGGTATGAATTAGCTTTAATTGCTTGGTACCTGTTTCAATTGCTTATCATATACTGTTGTAATTTAACAATAGGTGCTAACTATAGTAGACACATCTAAAACTCACTTTTCAGCTCTGTTGAGCGCGTTTGTAAAACTGATGCAACAGTTGACATGATACATAGGAAGGCACAGCAGGATTACGGTATATCCAACAGTACTTTTAGTTTGAAACCTGTACATACATTTCAAGAAAATGTCCTCTCCAATACTTGCAATATGTGTTTGTGTCATGTCAAAATATAGTTTTCTGTATATATTTTATTCTTTGTTACTTGTGTTCCCTTTTTACAGCTCCAGAAATGTTCTACCCAAGAGAACAAATTTGTTATTCTTTTGCTGTTGACTGGTGGTCTTTAGGAGTTACTGCATATGAGCTTCTAAGAGGCAGGGTGAGTTCATCAGACTTTTGTATGATCTGTTATAATGCTTATAGTTTGTTATCATCATTCACTGTATGTTATAATAATTATAGTTTGTTATCATCATTCACTGTATGTTATCAGTATACTGTTACAATCATAATTTAAAGACATGGGACTCATACAAATGTATGACTGTCTTAATCCTTGAGATCATATGGGAAGTCAGGGAAAAAGACTTCACATTGGGGACACAGCAGTAGAAGCCTGACAGTGCTTCAGGCTTTCTGGCCCAGGGCCCACTAAGGGTGCAAGGGAAATCTCCCCCAAAGTAGCAGTACAATCCAAACAGAGGTTCTAAATATTCCACAATCGAATCAATGCCAAAACTATTTTAACTTAAAGTGACATTAAAAGATCCCACCCCCATGCCAGTGTAAGGACTTACCTTAATTGATGCCTCTTGATCCGAACATCTTCTTCTTTCGTGTAGTTTTCAGGATTCCCTCCAGTGCTGGTGCTGGTCTCTGATCCAGCGCTGACTGCTGTGTCTTCTGTGTCCCACGGAGTCTGTGCGGGTGCACACTGCCGGGCTGCATGCATTGATTTACCCTGTGTCTCTCCTCATCTCCTGGCCGAAGATCTGTACTGCGCATGCGCCCGTCCCATGATCCTCTGCGGCCGCTCGAGATTTTTCAGATCTTCGGAGGGGAGCGTGTGGCAGAGACGCAGGTAAGTTTAAACCTTTTTCGTAACAGTAGATATATGCAATAAATCCTGAGGGTTTGAATATCCTTTAATCACTTGTATGAGTAATACAGTACTCTACAATAGTATGAGTAATACAGTACAGTACTTTCTTTTTGGTAACCACTTAGGACTGGTTTTTAGGCTGCAACCTGTTTTAACTGTAATCGGTCCCTGAAGGTGATTGCATTTAGCTAGCTATAAAAGGGGGGAATCTGATAGTTTGGAATCAAATGGAATGACCATTGGATGATTTGTTCTTACTCAGTACGCACATCCATTGTTGAAAATCACATTACTGCCTGCGACAAAGTGCAGTGTCATCTCTGTTGATAACACAAAGATCAAATTAAATTCTGAAAATTTCCAAGAACTTCCATCTTATTCTTTCCAGTTGATCTGAGTCTGAAAGATGGCCAGCTTCTGTATGAGACAGAAGCAGCAATTGGCTGCACCTCTTTATGCATCCTTTCCCTGGCCATAGATCATCAGGAAAAAAAGTTCATGAAAGGTAAACATTTTTATAGCTCCTGACATTACTTTGGCTAGTTTAGGTTAGGCGTTAGCAGGGGCAGGGAGAATAGTTGTACACTTAGACTTTTATTCTGCAATAAATTAATCAAACCTCTAATCAACTCCTCTAGCGTCGTAACAGTCGATTACTTGTGCCCAGAGGGAAGCTTAGCCCTTTTTTCACAGAAAGCCTATAAGTATAATTTGTTTCTTTTATTCATTCATGTTTTCTAGAGACCTTTTCACATACATTCGAGCAGTGCAGCGACAGACATTGTCCACGTGTTCCATACGGCAACGGTTACATATCCACCAGCATGGTCTAAGGAAATGGTTTCAATACTGCACATGGTAAGATCTAATGTATCAATGCAAGGGGTTGTGGAAAGTACATACCTCTTTAAAAGCTTATAGAAATACAAATGCATATGAAAAGCAGTTTTCTTTTTCTTATACTTTTTTTAGTGAGAGACCACCAGGGGACTTGACATAAGTACAATTGAGAATCTTTTCTTAAGACCCATAATATGGCTTACAGAGAAGGTCACCTAGCTTATATTTGTAACTGGACATTCCCCATCACTCTTCTTAAAACATCTCCCTCAGTATATTAGTCGTGTACTTAATTCTCAATACAGTAAATAATTACAGTAAATATTTTTGCATCGAATGATAGCTGTAACCATATGCAATGCCAAGTAATTCATAAGTGGATCTCCACCCTACATGGCCTACTGATTAATGCTTAACTCTGGGTCTAGTGCTCTGCAGGCTTTACACAAAATGTAATTTTGGCTTAAGTACAAAATTACAGTCTCTTACCACACAGCATATTAGTGACAGTTCTTTAGCTCATGTGTGATCGGGTCTGGCGAAAATAGAAGAACTCCTTTTGCTGCAGCCATCCTTACTGTGACTTAATAGGCTGCATACAGCCGCTCTACCAGTCCACCATAGAGTAATGCTCCAGAGACTGCTACCAAACTCTTTTGGTGGCCATTGTTGTGGCCGTTATCCTCAACAAGAAGCCCTAAGCATGTTGTCACCCAATAATAGTTCACAGTTTTTCCCATGGTCAATAAAATATTACCTCTTGTCAACAGATCCTCAAAATGCAAGGAGGATCCCCAACCACCTACTCAGCTATATTTCCATAGTGTCTATATAAACTCAATATGCATTGAAAGAACATCTTTGTGACTTGTTCCATTGCGTTTATTAGGTTTTTATGGTGTTAGAATATGTAATTCTATGGCTATGATTAAACAATTGATTTTATATATGCAAAAGAAACACAGTTAAAACTCTTCCTTTATTTATAGAATTTATGTTGGAAAAAACGTAATTTTTTTTTTACCCTCAATTACATGTTGCCATACAATTACCTCCAAAATAACAGTGCAAATATATTTATTATTTCTACTGGCTATTTTTCTTGTAAGCATTAGAAGATTATAGCGGCTGCCATTGCGTGCATTCACCATCTGTCATCACTGCAGCAGTCATGCTGACCTCCCATTGTTAAGTTTACCACAAATTCCAGTTAATGTTTGCAGCACCTTTTTTCCCCAGTTATTTTCCTTGCGGCTTTATAATGTCTTTTCCCCAGCTGTGTAATTCACATAATCACAAAACAGATTATTTAGGGCAATTACCTGGGGAGCCTGAAACATTTCCTTGTCCCTACTGTCTTTTTCTGTATCAGTCACATCAAAGGCTGAGAATTTATTCTGTCACATTCTGTAAATATTTTTGTTCTAAACAAAGGCAAACAAATAAGCACTGCATTGAAACAGAAGTTTAATTAAATGTACTTTTGAGTAGAAGAGCTCCAGACAAATATGAAAAGGTCCAAGTCTGTATGTGTAATGTTGCAATTATTCTTTATAATAAACTCCTATTATCCTATCTATACCAGCTGAAATTTGCACTCAGTCTGGCTACCAGTGATGTGCATTGTACTTCGAATAGTGAAGAAATGACTGAGTGTGGGTGACTAATCATTATAACTGATTGCACTGAATTTAGGTAGCGTAGAAAAATTTCCTGTAGGTTTGTGCTACTTTAGTAGGCGAAAGTTTAGGCTTCTGAAAAAATATCAGAAAACAGTAGGTTCAGCCTGATGGACAAAGCAGTCATTTATTTTGATGGAACCAGTTCTGTCAGGAGAAAAAAATAAACATTTTATGGGTAACTAGTGACAGCTATAACTTCTTCTTTCCTCTCCTTCTCTCTCCTTCTGGCCTTCTCTTCTTTCCTCTCCTTCCCTCTCCTTCTAATTTCCTGTTCTTTATCTTCTTCCCTCTCCTTCCTCTTCTTCTTCCCTTCCTTCCCTCTCATTCCTCCCACCCTCCTCCTATTTGTCATTCTTCCCCTTCCTGTTTTCCTTATTCTCCTTACTCCTTCCTCCACTCACCTTCCTCTTTCTCATCTTTTACATTCCTGTCCTTTGCATTCTCCTTCCTCTCCTTCTTACCTCTTTCCTCTTGTTCCTCTCCTTCTGTCTCTTTCATTATCTCCACTCCTTCTCCATCATTCTTTCCCTTCCTGTTCTTCCTTCTCCTTCCTCGCTTACATCTCATTCCTTGCTGCTTTCCTAATTTTTTTACTACCATCCATCTTTAAGAGTTTGATAAAATCTGATTTTCTTCTCAGTAAAATAGTCACAAGACAGGGTAAGTGAACAGTTTTGCAATTACCTGCATGGATGGTTCTTGAAATGTGATCTGAACACCTATATAATATTAATAATTAAGGACAGACGTATTTAAAGAAAACATGTACTGAGGCAAATATGATGGCTGCCATTGCTGACCTCTTTCTAAAAATGGTAGCTACCTTGCTGTCAAGCTGATCTAATGGCTTCAGTACCTTGAATCACTTACTAGGGACATGCAGGGCAAAGTCGGGACTCCTGTTTGCTTAAACCCATTGGCTTAGAAAGTATTAAGACCATTTGATCTGGAATAGGTCAGCAAATGCAGCCTCCGTATCTGTTTCCACGCAGGTTTCCTTTAAGAAACAGCAAAGACCAGTTTTACATCTACATATATTTATTCAGTAAGTGGTAAATGTATGTGAACTCATGGATGCGGTAATCTTGAAAAGAAGCTAATTGGACTTCCAGTCGCTAAAATTAGGGGTGTGGTTTAAAGTGTATTTCCACCTTTGCAGCCATGTTTGAGAAACCTCCACTATATGTGTATTATATGTTTTCCCATTCACAGAGTATACCTCTAAATAATCAACATTACATTAATGTACAATGTACTGCCCACGCCATGAGATTGTTAACCCTTTGTGAGGATAGTGCACATATCTAGTTCACATATGATCTACCAGCACAGTACAGACAGGGTTAATTATGGTACATATAACTCCCTAGCCCCTTCCTTAAAGAAGAACTCCAGGAAAAAGGTTTATATATAACGTATAATATACAGTATGTATAT